TGACCAAATCCAGCCCAAACTATAGTTGTCCTACGTCATATCAAGCAGGCAGTGTATAGAGCACAAATATCTCATCTGACCTTTCTGATGGCGACGCATCCGGCAGTGTTGTCCTCGATCTCGACGATCTCCACATTACCCTTGTTCGTTTTCTGCTTGTCCTCCTTAACTTTCTTCTTAACGTCAGTGGGCTTCTTCTCCTTGTCGTCATCATGGTCATCATCGCCGTAGGTCTCCTCGACGGAGTAAGAGTTGGACCAAGGCTCGAGGCAGCCCTTGCCCTTGATCTCCTTGGCCCACTTGACCTTGGTGGCGCCGGCGGCGGACGCCTTGGACTCCCACTTCCACTTGCGGTCGAAGCCGTCGTGGTGCGGGGTCCTGAGCTCGGCCTCCCACTTGAGGTTCCGGCCGCCGGCGGGCCGGTCCTCGGCGGTCCACTTGACCTTCCTGCCGTGGGCCTCGGCGGCGTAGGTGTACTTGCGGCGCGGTGCGGCGGGGGTGAGGGCGAGCGCGCGCTCGAGGGCGGAGACGCGGTGGCCGAGCGCGTCGAGGAGGAAGGGATCGAAGTCGAAGGCCGGGCACCGGGGCGCGGCGGCGTGAGGCGGCAGGAGGAGGTCGATGTCGAAGGTGTCGATCAGGGAGGGGGAGGTGAAGCCGAGCGGGCAGGAGGTCGGGTAGAAGGGGTGGTCGTCGAGGAGGAAGCGGTGGTGGGCGGAGGCGGAGATGTAGGGGCAGGACGAGGTGGTGGTGGTAGGGAAGGGGAAGGATGGGAAGAAGGGGTCGTCGTCGACGGCGTGGAGGTCCAGGAGGCGCTGGAAGTAGCGATCGCGGCTCATGGTGGCGGTGGATGCGGAGGAAGTTCGGACTGAGGAGTGGAGCCGCGGCGGCTAGGAGATGCCAAGGGGGAAGAGATGATGGCGACAGGGAATGAGAAGAGTGCACGGCGAGGGCGAAGACAGAGGCTGATGAGAAGCTGTGCCCCTCGTTCGTTACTTTCACACGACGAGTGGACGGGGTAAAACGGGAACGCGACGAACGGTGTGAGTTCTTGGGTGGTCGCCATGGCCATGATGAGGACGAACGGAGAGAGATCCGGCACGGCGCCGCGAACAAGATCCGACCGTGAGACACGGCCACGCAGCCTGGTTTGACTTGAGTACACGGCGACGCTACCTACCTCCTCCAGAGGCCAAAAGCAGAGAGGAGATGAACAGAGAATGTGGGGAATCCCTATGCTATTGCTTTGTGGACACCACATCGGGATTCGAGATGGCAGCCATGTGAGTGGCACGCTTGCTTGCTGGTCTCGTTCCTGCTGCGGCTCACGTGTTCGCACCCACGCAGACCCGGCCAAGCAGAGTGGCAGACAGCACGAGATCCTCAATCCGCATCCTACCTCGCCGGGTCCCACCGGCCCAGCGGCGGCCATGGCCGAGCAACGGGCATGGCTATAGTTGGCCATGAAGCCTAAGACCGTCAGCCCGGCCTAAGGCCTGTTTTTTTTTTGTCCGGCCCAAGCACGACACGGCCCGACGGCTAGAGGGCCCGGGCTGACCCGGCACGGAGGAGCAGTCCGTGCCTAGGCCTTACCCAAGGCACGTAATGGCACACGCAGCACGCCGCCACATCTGAACAAAGGCTGCTTCGTCTGCGCAGAATCAGAGGCGCGCAGCCCGCAGCCTCCTCCGGTCCTCCCCCGTCCCCGGCTACTCTGCGAGCCCCACGCTCCTAGTTTCCCACTCCCACCCCCGATTCCACCCCCTCCCCCTCCTCGCGCAGCCTCGAACCGGCGATTCGGCTAACCCTAACTCCCTTCCCCTCTCTCTCCTGGCGCAACAACGGTGCCCCTCTCCCTCCCTCCCGACAGCAGCCCCTCTCGCGTGGCCCTGCTGTGGCGCTCAGCGCGCTCATGGTGGAGCTCTCATGGCCCCATGGCCTTGCAGCTCATGACAGCCCCGCCTGTGGCGCTCTAGCGAGGAGGCGGCGGGATCCGGCGCTCCCCTGCAGCGGTGATGCTCCCCTGCAAGCAGCCGGCGAGATCCCTCATCCTCGGTGCACGGCGGCGCCCTCCCTCCCTCCCCCATCCTCCATCTCTCCCTCCTCGTGCGGATCCCCCTCTCCCTCTCCCTCCCTCCCTCGGCTCAGATCCAGTGGCCTCCCTCTCTCCCTCATCCTCGGTGCACGGCGGGCTTCCTCCCACCCTCTCCCTTGCCGTGCCTCCTCCGCTCAGACCCGGCACAGGTACGACGACCAAACTCCCTCCCTCACTCTCCCTCGACGGCGCGCGGCTAGGAGCGCGCGGGCGGGTAGATCCAGCGACTCCCTCCCTTCCTTGTTTTCTCTGATTCTCTCCTCTCCATCTCGCTCACCTCCTCTTCATCTCCTCTCCATCGCTGAGGGAGGGCGCCGCCGCCGCCGCCCCGCCCCGAGATTGAGACTCTGGCTCCCGGCCCGGCCGCCACCACCTCCTCCTCGCCTCCCAGCAGCCACAGGCGCGCAAGACGCGCGGCCTCAAGCACTGCCGGCGCCGCCCTCCTCCCCAAGGCCCCCATGGTGGTGGCCGGCCGGTGGGCCTCGGTGCGGCACGGCTGTGAAAATGGTCGTGCTTCTCAGCCGGCCCAAGACGGAAATCGCCCATAGGACCATGCCTAGGTCGAAGGCCGGGCCCGTGGGCCCTGTGAGGCCACGGCCGGGAGGCACGCCGCCGTGCGTCTTGGCCCGTTATTATCGGGCCGTCTTTGCGCGCACGGCCTGCATGCGTCTTGCGGGCCAGCCGACCCGTTGGTCATCTATAGGCACGGCCACCAGAAGAAGAGGCCGTCACTTCACGCCTCACGCGCGACGCTTGTGTCATTGAAGAAGAAGAAGAAAGCGAGCGTGGCCACCCACATCCCAATTTGTGGTGGGCCTCCATCCGCCTCAACTTTCACCTCACCTGCATGCATTCAGATATGGGCCTCCTTTCCGACCTTCTTGAAGGCATAGCGGCCCAGATATCTTAGCTCAACAAGCCGCCGCCCGCTCCACCTCTTCCGAAAAGCCCCCACCAAATTTGAGTTGCAGAGGCCCATCCTATTTTTTTCTAAGCAGTGTTAGTGTCCGGACGGACGCGCCACTCTGCTTTCCCAAGGCCGAAGCCAACACGCTCCCGTCCGAGCCCGCGCCGCCAAACTGCACGCAAGGACCGCTAGTGCTCCCTCCGCTTCTCACGCGCATTGCAACATGTGTAACACCCCGATCTACTTTTACAACATCCAGATGAAACATTGGCAACATACGTCCAAAATAGCAACCTACGTCTGAAACACTTGCAAAACACCAAAAAAACTTGAAAACATGTGTGTAGCCATTGCAAACATATGCAAACATCAAGATGAAAACGCTTGCAACATATGTATGAAAAACACCTGAAACACTTTCATATATATGCAACATCCTAGTCTAGTTTTGCAACATACATTTGAAACATACACTTGAAACATACGCGTATAACCCATTGCAACATGTGCAACATCCTTATGAAACACTTGCAACATACCTCTAACAAATCTAAAACATTTTAAATGTATGCTTGAACATGCATCGTATCTCGATACGACCTCCTCCGCCATCTGCATTGGGGTGCCGCAGTCGTAGCAAGAGGCGAGGCCAGAGGGCTTCCGCACCAGGGCCCGACGCTTCTCCTTGCACGGCGGCCTTAGTGGCTACCTGGCGTCAGAGGGAGCGGTCGCCACGCGTGGGCGCGACAGTGTCCGCGCCGTCAAGCGAAGCGGGCTGTAGAGCAGAAGCAGCGGGGAGGCAAGGTGGAGCAGGAGAAGGAGCAGCGCGGGGTGACCATCGATGGTGGAGCGGGCCGCAGAGCAGGAGTAGTGGGGCGACCGATGGAGTAGGAGTAGGCGGGGTGACCGTGACCGTCGACGCGTGGAGCAGAGCGAAGCATGCCTCTTGTCTCCTTGTCCTTTCCTTATCCAACCGGTGCAACAGAAGAGACGGACACGGATATCATAATAAAAAACGAGCGGGCGCAGAGGATTGGTCTATTGGACTAGTATGCAGGCCTATGATGGGGCGTCCGAACGGATGGATGCCCTGCACTAGCATTCCGATGCTTCTTTTTCGTTTCCTTTCTCATAAAAGCAACACGCATGACTCTCGCACATGAAAATTAGGGAGTTCATGGAGCATTGAAACGTCAGAGGATAGACATATGCAGCATTGACTGCGTCAATTTTTTTTAATAATGACTGCGTCTAAATTCTGGAGTCATCTAACCCCGAAATACAGGAGGTGCCCCAAAAAATAAAATCATGAGCAGATCAGTGAGGAACGTATGTAGTTTTAGCAATAAACATTATTAAGACTATTCGATTATTGTATCAAGTTACATCTTACATGGCAAGCATACAAATTCAAAAGAAAATGGTGTCAAGACTTGCATTGAGAGCAAATGATTACATCGCACATACGATGAACCAAATGCTTGCTCCATGCATAATTTGACATAGAGCCCAGAAATGGATGCGGGAGGGAGGGAGGGAGGGTTTGGGTGTCCACCTAAATGAGCTTGGCATAGAGCCCCTAGAAATGGGTGCGGGAGGGAGGATTTGAGTGTTCACCCAAGTTTGAGGGCTCTAGTAGGGCCCTGCTTCACCTTTATTTTTGACCTAGCCACCTATATTTAGCTCGGGCTCAAGTAGAGATCCTTCTGCAGCTGGAATTGTTGTAATGAAACTGGAAAACACATTTTATCAAGTTACAAGGTAGGCATACATACAGATTCAAAATACAATGGTGTCAAGACTTGCACTGAGAGCTAGCAAATGATTACGTCGCACGATAGATGAACCAAGTGCTTGCTCCATGCATAATTTTACAGCACAAAATAAAAATCTTATTTGGTCGCCTATATATAATTAACAAGCGGCATTAATAATGAACTCCTCCCTTCCCTTCGTCGTCCCAAAACAAAAATATATGATCAGATCAGCTATAGATAGAGCCTAGAGGCCGAGGAGCTGGGTGTTCTCCCAGAGCGTCTTGGCGGAGCGTCGGAGCCTCCTGGTCTCCTCGTCGGTGAGCTCCATGTCGGCGACGCCGAGTACACCGGCAAGACCGAGCCTGGCGGGCAGGCTGAGGAACACCTCGTGGTCGTCGGGGATGCCGTGGAAGCCCGCGGCGAGCACGGACACCGGGTGGATGCGGCGCTGGTCCCGGAGGAGCGACGACACGAGGTTGGCCACCGAGTAGCCGATGGCCCACGACGTGTATCCCTTGAGCCCGATGACCTCGTAGGCGCTGTCGACGACGGCGCGGCGGATGCCCTCCAGCGCCTCCTCGCCGAAGCTGCTGTGGCTCTCCTGCAGCGACTTGAGGACCGGCATCCCGGCCACGCTCAGCGTCGACCACACCGCCACCGAGCTGTCGCCGTGCTCGCCCACCATGTACGCGTTCACGTCCTGCGCGTTCACGTCCAGGTGCTCGGCGAGGAGGAACCTGAACCTGGTGGAGTCCAGGTTGGTTCCCGACCCGATGACGCGGCTCACGGGGAACCCCGACAGCTTCCAGGCCACGTAGGTGAGCACGTCCACGGGGTTGGAGACGATCAGCAGGATGGCGTCGGGGGAGTGCTCCGCCAGCGCCGGCACGATCTTGCGGAACAGCGCCACGTTCCGCTGGAGGAGGTTCAACCTCGTCTCCCCCGGGATCTGCCGCGCGCCCGCAGTCACGATGGCCAGGTCGGAGCCCCTGGTGACGGACATGTCGGTGTCGGACACCCGGAGCGTGCGCGGCAGGAACGCCGGCGCGTGCTGCAGGTCCAGCATCTCCCCGAGGAGCTTGTCCGGGAGCGCGTCCACCAGCGCGATCTCGTCGGAGAGGTCACGCGTCAGGATGGTCTGCGCGATGGCCATCCCCACGTTGCCCGCGCCGATGACCGACACCTTGGTCAGCCTCCGCCGGTGGTGCGACGTCGGCGTGGAGTCCATGCCGTCGGACACCGGGCGGAAGAAGCCCGAGGAGGCGCCGTTGGCGTCGAAGCCGAGCTCGGAGAGCGACGTGGCCTTCTTCATCTTGCTTACTTGCCTGCTGAGGCACTGCTGCGGCGACGTACTAGTTGGAGCAGCGGGAAGTGTTTGTGGGCGAGATATGATCGACGCTGTACGGTGAGATGATAAGGGCTGCTATTTGTAAGCTACTACTACTAATTAACTAAGCCCCCCTGAAACCGAAACCAGCCGGTTTCAGCTTAACTCTGCGTCTTCTTGGTCGATCTACGACTACTAGAGGTTCGGGTGTTCCAAGGACGTCTGTCACTCGAGTGTCAGGTCTCCTTAAAACACGCGATTCCAACCAACAACAATAATCGAGTGTCGGATCCCATCCAAACACTCGATTTCTATGACCACTCGATCAAGATCTATAGATTACAAATAAAATATATCAAATAAATGTTAAAATTAAATAATAAAATAATAAAATTTACCAGATAATTACTATGAAGTGCAAATTGGAAGAAATTCAAAGAAAAAGCAAATAAATATGCAAACAACAAATAAAAAAATGCAAAAAAAAAAAAATAACCGGACTATTTCTATGGAAGCTAAATTGGAAGATTTCAAAGGAGAACCAAATCAAACGTACAGAAAACAAAAAAAGGTCAAAAAAAATGATCAGATGACTGTTTGGATAATTCTGACCATTCTTATTTACGAATAATTAATTTACACCAATTAAACATATAACTTATATCTAAACAGAAGTAGTAAAATATGATTCAATAAGATATAATTTGCTCCTACTAGAGAAATAAAACTGAATGCATACGTACGAACATGATAGGGGCTAACGGCTGCTATTTGTACGCAACGCGGGGGCGGAGTGGCCGGGGCCAGCAGTCGCATGATGTGCTGTGCTGCCCTGCCATGCCACTAGCAGGCAGTGTTGTCATATGCATCAAGCCGGCAGTGATGTCTTTAACAACACTGTCCATTTATAGCTTAACCCGACAACTCAAGGCTGATGAGGCAGATCATTTGCTTGACAGATATGTCTTTTTCTGGCAACTCATTTTTTTCTTGGAGCAGTTTCCTTATTATACCTAACAACTAATCGAAGCCTTTATCGCTCAATCCGTTTGTATATTTGAACTCTAATAGCATGATGTTGGCTTTCAGTTTGCTCATCGGACAATCCTTATACAATGGTGTTTTGCTATCTTGTCTTATTTTTTCTAGCTTTCTCAGTTGTGTATCACTAAGAAATCCGCTCTCTACATTACGTACCAGCTGAGAAATACCATCATCTTACTCGATGTCATCACCTAGCACATTCATAAACACATCACTAACGGTAGCCATAGGTTCCTCGTTGGTAACAGCCTCGTGGAGGGCTACTTCAGGCATGGCCACATCATCATTATTTTCCTGCGGAACATTCACACCAACGTCTCCATACATATTCCGTATCGTATAGTTTGGCAGGAACCCTCTGGTAATCAAGTGCATTCGTATAGACTCAATTCTCTCCCATTTCCTTTGATTCATGCAATCTTTGCATGGGCAGAAGACAGGGTTTCCATCCGTAGCATCGGCGATAAACTTGCTGATGCCACGCATGTACCGCTTGTCCGTTTGGGACAGATGCATCCACTCTCGATCCGTCTCTGTAAAAAAAATATTGAGATAGTAATTACAGAGAAATTAATAACAAGTGGAGCTTCATGAACAACAATTGTGGCTCGAAAGTACCATTTATTTTACACTTATTTAATTTAGTTAAGCCATTTTAGGAAAAAATATTCTACACTAGTTATTGGAAAATTAAAATTTGTAGCCCCGGCCATATAAATTGAAAATCGTAGCCCCCATAAAAAACAATTATTGTACAATAATCAAGAACAATTACTCTACTCCATGCCACATAAAAATGGAGACACTAATTTAAAAAAAAAGACTAAAAATTGGAGACTTGATCATGAACAATAATGTATCTCTAAACAATGTGTTGGTAGGTGACACATGAATTAATTTGCTCATCAAAATTGTAAAAGAATCTACTCTACTCCTAACAAGAACTAATTATAGTATCACATACTGACAATCATCTTGACCACCATGTAATTAGCTAGGAATTTAATAGGTTCATAGACACTAATCTTTTGGATAATGGATTATCTACAATTTGCTTGGATGCCTTGCACAAAGTCCAATTGAAAAGTGCTCTCTAGAATTGAGAAAGAACTAGAATGAGAATAGCCATAAAAAATGGTAATTAAGCAACAAAATCAAAGGAGCGATGCTTGTTACTAACCTTAAAGAAAAAAAAGATCAAGCCTATTCTTCAAAATACAAGAGCTAGCTTTATGGTGAAGAGCAGCCGCAACAATGGAGGGAGGAGGGCAAATGCGCGCCTCTGTGCTCGGGATGGAAGAGAGGAGGGAGTAGAGGATAGCGCCAGAGTTTTGTACTATCAGTTACCACCGTCGGTTCTTGGTTAGAACCGGCAGTGATATCTGACCGTCCACTCATTGTCGGTTCCTTCACTGTCGGTTTTGGCCTACCCCTAATCATTTTCTAATTTTGAAACCCAGAATCAGCAGTGAAGGGTCATAACTGCCGATTGGCCGAAATTCGGCACTGATAAGGCCGACAATGACCTCGGCCGAAATTCGGCACTGATAAGGCCGACAATGACGTTCGATTCTTTTGTAGTGTCTGCAAGCCATGCATTATTCCAGACGCTGAGATGCCGGCTTTGACAAGGGAGAGACCCTGACGACCCAGCCTGAAAGAGACAACCATCATCTCGATCACTTTTTTTCCCCCTACGTTTCCATATCATCATATCATCTAGATTAATTGGTATTAATACACACACCCACACATATTCTTCCAGTCGCTCCGATCCCTGCAGGCCTCGTCGATCGTCGTCCCAAATATCGTTGGTCCATTCCATGACTAGCTTCTGGGTCAGTGCATGATACATATACGTACTCTAGTACTTAAAACGCGTGCATTCACAGTTACTTGGAGAACTATATGCCTTGGATCGGACCACACACAACATGTATAGGCATTCAATTGGCATGCGTGCGGTCTTTCGTCGACAAAAAATTGTCATGCATGCGCATGGGTCCTAAGGCCTGATCGGATCCATTAACGCTAAAAATTAGTAGCTAAATTAGTAGTACAAATAGATTCAAACAGACGTGCTAATAAACTTACTAATTATTAGCTGGAAGGGTGCTAACCGTTAGCAGGTTTAGAGTTGTTAATATATGCTAATGGTTCATATCCATCTTTAACCCACCATCCAACCACCTATTAGCAAGTGGATCCAAATAGCCTTTACTGAAAGTTAGCAACTATTAGCTAGCTAATTTTTAATGCTAATAGATCTAAACAGCCCCTAGACACACGTTTAATTCCTATGCCTGCAGCTTCCTCGGAAGCTTCCATGAATATGATGTGTCTTTCATATCCTATCCGTAACTACTACCGGCCAGCCCACCCCAAAAACAAGATATGTCCCCCAATTTCTCCTGAAAAATAAAAGCTGCTGCTCCAACCCCTATGCATGCAAGTCCTACTCTAGCAGTTTCAAGAGCTATCTGGAGTTGTGTTTGTACCAAACAAGATAAAATGAAACAGATCCTTAAGAGAACTCGTGAAAATCCGCTCTTACAAGGTGGGACCTGGATGAGATGAAAATACAGCTTCTCTCATCTCCATGTCATAGATTTACTATGAGAATTGAAGCCTGTTTTACCAAACATTTTTAGGGACAACAAAGAATTTCGGGTGTCTCTAGAAATGAATTTTTAGAGGCGGTTGATAATTTGGTCCATCTCTAAATTAGGTACAACATAGTAAAATTTATAACTTTTTCAAACCAAGTTGACTAAATACAAAATTATATCAAAATTGTAGTACTCGAATAGATCACACCTTTGTAGTTGACGACTTTTTCATTTAAAACTATTTAATGCCCGAAACGTTTGTTTTAAATTCTCATAATTTGAATTTCAATTTTTTTTTTCAAATTACCTTGTTTGGAGAAACGACTTAAATCAAGGTCGTAGAACTCGAAGAGATTTGCAACTTTGTAGTTGGCTACTTTTCTGATTTGAACTCATTTAGTACCTAAAATTACCTAGAAATTATGTTTGAACGTTTTAATTTTTTAAAGTACCTTGGATGGAAAATGACCTAAACCAAAGTTGTAGTACTCGAAGAGGTCTAATATTTTTCAATTCAAATTTCATTCATTTGAACTCGTTTAGGGTCTGAAATATGTATCACAATATTCATGAAAGTGAATACAGAATAAATGTAGAGGTTTAAGGCTGTGAGTTTGATCCCATGGCCTCATGCACACATATTTCAACGTGAAAAATCTTGTGACCCTGTGACTTGCAATTGTTTTTTTTAAACTACTATGTTTTTTCCTACATTTACAAATTCTAGAAAATGTTTTATAGAGATGGCTCGAATTCAGGCCGCTTCTACACATCAATCTCTAGAGGCGAGCTGGGATTTGGTTCGCCTTTAGAATCGATTTCTAGAGACGAGTACTTAGATTTAGGGTGCCTTTAGCAGTTTAGCTGGGCTCCCAAACCTGTTCTGGATTCTAAAAAAAGACAACCAATGGGCACCGACCACAGCTATGGCTTTCAACAAAGCAGCTTTCACCTAGTTGAAAACCCATAGCTACTCCCGAGTTGCTTCCACAGGCTGTGGGAGCGAGACACTTGTCAAAATTACCCGCCTACCACTGGTTATGAGCATACCGTTTTTTTTCTCGAATCGAGTGAGCGCGAGCTCCTTCTCTGCCCCTGTCCTCTCCTCCTCTGTCGTTCTCCATCTGCCCTGGGGCTAGGGTTCCAGGTCGGCGGGCGCCGAAGGGTGGCAACGGCTTCCTCCACCCCGTCCTCTTGTCCTCAGCTACAGGAGGAGGCCCATGACTCCCATCTCCGTTCACGGCTCCGCCTCCACATGCTAGGGTTCTAGGCCGACAACCGGGATTCCCTCGTCGGCGGACGATAGGGCCGATCGCAGATCCCCTCTGCCCA